AGCCCCCAGACATCTGAGCCCTCACGCCGTGATGTCATCACGGTCGCTACTTCTCTACTTCTGGCTGTGGTCACCGTTCATGATGAAGAGCTGGCGGGACTTGCTGTTGCTGGTGTAGGTCTCAAACGTTCCGTGGCACTGTTAGCTTAGCATGACGTGGCACACATTTGGAGGACATGCACCCTCAGATGCACATGCCTCCTTGGAAGAGCTGTCGGTTTATACTGACATGGCGGTTGATCGGCCCGGCATGCGTGGCTTGGCCCGGGCTTTGGGCTTGACCTTGGGAGGCGTGATGCTGGATCATTGTTTGATCACTTACGATGACGCCATGTGGTGGGGGTGGTTTCATCGCTCGTGCACGCCTTGATCTGTCGCGTCCTGCCGGTGGCGGCATCACAGTTCAGGGCATGATCCTGCCGTGGGATCCAAGCTCCCGGCATAGGGAGCCTAGATAGGGTAGAAGCCTACAACAGGAGTTAACGCGTTGATACGGACGAAGTCATGGTTTCTCAAGTGGATGTAGTCGCCGAGGGCCATTCCATGGGCGAGTTCGTCGTGAGACATTAGCCTCGGGTTGCCTAGGCGGAAGACCGGGTCATGGCCAATGATAAGAGAGGGTACTAGTCCCCCTATGTAGGTGCACTCTAGGATGCGGCCGCCGGGGGCCGTTCCGAGAGTGTGTCCAGTCTCTCGGTTCCTCTCTTCTGTCTTTCGCACTCCCACTGCCACTGGTCAGTGGCCACTAGCGGCCCACTAATGAGATTTTTAATTGCATAACTCTATATACGATGACTAATGTCATCTATAACTCTATATACGATGAGCCAATTAATAAGCTTAGAAAAAAGTACGCCAATCTACCGTACGGGCCACCTTCGACCCCCAACAAATTTAAAAGAAAAAAGTCCACATTACCTCCCTCAACTTTTGTGAAAGTATGTTTTTCCTTCCTGAACTCTAAAACCAGGTAAACCACCTCCCTGAACTTTTAAAACCGTTCGTTTTACCTCCCTGGCCGGTTATAAGCGGTTTTTAAAGGCGGTTTTGTCTTTTTCTTTTTTATTTATTTCGGCTGAATCTTTGAAAAATCATAGTAAATCACAAAAAATCATAAAATGGCAAATTCAATTTCGTTTGACTCCACATGAGTAGATCTACATGATGAACATATAATATGTTATGCTTTAGTATAATTTTTTTTGCTATAGCTTTAGATCTATGCTTTTCTATAATTAATTCGTAGCTGCAGTTTCTACGGTCCAATTGTGGTAAAATTTTTATGGTGGGCTAATTATTGTATGCTTCAACTGTAGTACAAAATTTCATATTCATTGTGTTAGTGTTTTGTCGACCGACTAGTGAATTTGTATGATTGTCGCGCTGCTATAGGAAGACGATGGTAGCATCCAAAGGATACAAGAAATTATACTAGTTCAGGTCGGAGCCCTATATCCAGTCTCGGAGAAGATCGAGTGCGTGTTGCTCAGTTGAATGCTCTGAAGTTCTTACAATGGGGTATGCAAGAAGAGTGGAAAGAGGTAGGAGAGTGGAGAATGAGCTAGAGCCTTCTTGGAGGGGTGCCCTGGCTGCCCTTATATAGAGTCCGGGGCAAGACCATGTACAAAGAGATAGGTTCTCCCGATCAAAGGATCATGAGCCTGAGGGAGGGAACCTAGCTAGCTTGGCTGACAAGGAACGCCATCTTGTCTTGGTGTAGCGCACGTCCGGGCGTGGTTGTCATCATGGTCTTGTGCCCACGTCGTGGCACGGGGTGGCGTGGTTCTACTGCGCTGTCGTAATGGCACTGTTGGCACGATGGTGGTTCGTCAGCCATCATGTGCGACGCGGTCTCTGTCTTGGCTTCCTATCTCCTGGGCTTGTCGTATGGGAGTTGGTAGTCTTGCTGGTCGTGGAGCTGATGGCCACGATCCCATGCTCTAGGGTGGTGGCCTTCGTTGGCTCAGACAGCCTTGAAAGTCAAGGTTGCTGTCGTAAGCTCCATCCCGGTCGTACGCCTGTTTCGTCGGGCTATATTTGGATGGTGGTTATTGTGTACTTGTCGTCACCTCCTAGCGGTCCTATCTTGTTTGCGGCGTGGAGTAGGGAAGGCGCCTGTTCTGAGACGGTTGTCCTCTTGGTCCTAGCGGAGCGAGCAGACGCGTGCCTGTCCTTGTCAGGGTAGGTGTGCTTGATGGAGCTCGACCCCTTCCAACCCTCTCCGGGGTCAGGACGGAAGAGTGGTCGTGTGGTACTGCATGGTGCACGATGAAGGGAGAGCGACGAGGTCGTGGTCGACTCCTCATCGTGGAATTCGGCCCAGTCCTTCATAGCTTTGTTGGGCCGCAGTCGTTCGGGCCTATACCAACTTGTGCATCATGGATCGCCCGAGCGACTAACTAATCGGTGTCCTGAGATATCCAGGATATCATAATCCCGACACATTGGATCACGTATAACTTAGCTATAGATTTATAAACTTTTTAACAAGCATACACGTAAATAAATCTATAACTAAGTTATACATGATCGTATGAATTTTTTACTACAGTTCATACATATAATAATTAGTCCATCATAAAAATTTCACCACAATTAGATCATAGAAACTGCAGCTATAAATTAATTATAAAAAAGCATAAATCTAAAGCTACAACAAAAAAATTATACTAAAGCATACCATATTATATATGTACTGTGTAGATCTACTCACGTGGAGTCAAACAAGATTAGAATTTCTATTTTATGATTTTTATGTGATTTACTATGATTTTTCAAATATTCAACCAAAATAAATAAAAAAGAAAAAGACAAAATCGTTTTTGAAAACCGCTTATAACTGGTCAGGGAGGTAAAACGAATGGTTTTAAAAGTTCACGGAGGTGGTTTACCTGGTTTTTAGAGTTCAGGGAGGGAAAGCATGCTTTCACAAAAGTTGAGAAAGGTAATGTGAATTTTTTCCAATAAAGTATAGATCGTGTCTTGCTATTCGATATTTAACCATTTGATTTCATGCATTGTTGCTTATATTATCTATATTCAATTTCCACTAGTTTTTCTTACAGTCGATGCTCACTCTTACCTTCCACGGCTTTATGCGTCGGGATATGGTAACGGCTATAAAACACCGATTGATCTTTAGATTTTACTTTCAGTTAGATTTATTTGGTTACTTATCTTTCATGAAGTATATTGTCCGGCTGTATATTCTTGGTGGACCTAAAAGGATAGTTGGATAAGTGGAGAGACGTGCAGGTGGTCAATGTACTAGAAGCTCGTGCTCATCCAGCTAAATGAATCTCTAGACCAGTCTAAGTAGGGATGCCACCGGAGTTTGTTGAGTATTAAATCGACTACCAACTTAGTAAATGTGATGATATGGCACAATATTGATGAAGAGAGAGATAATCAAAATTTCATGGGAGTAAAATGAGTTTCACGAGAATGAAACTGGTCCATGTTGTTTAGAACACAAATCCTTAAAAACTGGAATATGAAACCTCCACTGAGCTTGGGATCTTCCTGACAAGAATGACGCTACATCATAGGGAACATGTTCTAGAAAAACTAATTGGAATAAAGGAGATCTAGGAAAGGAGTTTCTTTGAATTTATTCTTGGTATTATGGATATAAATAACATCAATAGAGGTATATATTTTTTTTAGATGCTTATAGTTTTAGGTGATGGTCCATTGTGAGCAGAGGTGGAGTCTAGTGGATTTCCATGCATGGTTATCATATTTGCATGACTCTGTACAAGTTGCTGAATAAGTCTTTTGTCTAGTATATTTTTTTAGTAAACATCTGCACCTATTTTTTTTAGCCCCTCGATTGTTCTCACCCATTGGTTGTAGGCATGGTGGTGAATGTGGGCCACAGGGTGGCCAATTAGCAGCTTTAGAGTTGCATTGGCTATTTGAAAGTTTAGACATTCTCTCAACCATATCTATAGAGCATTCATGGTAAGAATTGTGATGGAGCTCCATTGCAATAACATGTATTCCCTCCGTCCTGAAATACAGTGCATCGTGACTTTTAAAATTTGTACTAAAATATAATACAATCTACATAATGATTATGTTTAGATTTGATAAAGTTTGTTAAAATGAAAACCATGATTTAAAAAGAAACTCTATAATTGGAATATGGGCACATGCGTCATTTGAATGTTCCCTTAAGTTGTCTTAGAATTTTTAGAATGCACTATATTATAAGTAAGACAAGAAAGAAAATAGAGTACTACCTTCATTCTAAAAAAATACAATCTCTGTTTGGTCTAAACCAAACCATTTTAAATTAGACTAAATCAAAATACTATCAACATGTATAACTTTAATAAATATACTATAAAAATATATTTAATGAATCTAATGATATTTATTTGGAACTATCATAAATAGTATTCCATTCACTATAAATTATGAGACATTTTAGTTCTTTTAAGAAATAATATCTTTTATCGCACACTTAGCAATATACTATGTCTAGTTATATAATATAAAAATAAATAAAAGTCAGAATATCTTATAATTTGAACGGTAGAGTAGTATTCCCTCCAGTTTTCTAAAGAATGTTGTTTTGACAACGACGCGGTCTCCAAAAATAACTTTGACTATTACTTTTTGCTATAAAATATTTATAAAATATAGTCTATATATACCTTTATGAAACTACATTTCGAGATGAATCTACTTACATCACTTTTATTTTTTGAAACATAACTAATTTTTTTTATTTATAGTCAAAGTTTAAAATATTTGACTTAAGACAACCTTAAGATGATATTTTTTGCGAAATCAGAGGGAGTATATATTTTTATGAATTTTGATTAAACTTTGACTTCGAAGGCCAGACCTGATACAACTTTCTATATACGGAGGAGTATACAGCCACACTTTGGCTCGCGAAAGAAAAGCGCAGAACAAACCGAGCTCGCTCGATCTCGCTACTCGCGTCTTCTCGTCGACAGCTCCAACTCCGAAACCCTACTCCGCCGGCGATGTCGTCATCCGGCGCCCCAGCCCCGGCGGCGGCGATGGCCGTGGACGACGCGGAGGACGACCAGCTCGCCTCCATGTCCACGGAGGACATCATCCGGGCCTCCCGCCTCCTCGACAACGAGATCCGTGTCCTCAAGGTGAGCGAGCCCAATCCTAGATCAGATCCCCGCGGCTTTGTAATCCTCGTTCGTTCGGCGTTAGGGTTTTGCGTCTGATCCGTGGGGTTTGTTTGGTTTTTCTCCTGCGGCACACAGGACGAGTTGCAGCGGACAAACCTGGAGTTGGAGTCGTTCAAGGAGAAGGTTAAGGAAAACCAGGAGAAAATTAAGCTCAACAAGCAGCTGCCTTACCTCGTCGGCAACATCGTTGAGGTTCAGTTTCCTTCCACTCTGTAAATTCCCTCCGTGTGGTTGTTATCTTGGGTTAATTTGAGGCCAGGGAAGTGAATGAGTGAAAATGATTTGGTCTATTATCTCATAATTTGGTGTGATAGCATACTTATAGAACTGCTTGTGCTATTATATTGTGTTTGTCCCCTTATAATTCATGTTAGATTAGATCTTCATACGCACCACGGCCACACTTAATTTGGAACAGAACACAAGGTCCTCTTGTGCAGCCACTTCAAATTAATTAGGGTAGTTTGTCTTTGTACATCAGTGATTCTTTAATTTGAGTAACTGTGGTCTGGTTAGGAATCCAGTCATTCAGAAACTCGGAACTTGATAACTGGTTTATTTCAACTACCTTAGCTTTCAAAATTTCCAATCTCCAAGACGTGAGATACAATATTTTGAAGATTTGATGGCTTTATAGATTCTGTGGAGCTATCTCACGTCTTAAATGAACCGTGACATGTATTATTGTAACTTACTGTGCTGTACTCCTCGTCCTTTAGAGATGATGATAACTATGGGTGTGTTTGGCAGTGAGAAACGTTTCAGATTCTCAGTAGGATTACTAGAATCGCTTTGCCAAACGCCACAAAGAGAGAAATGTTTTTGGGAGAATCACTTGGAACCCATTCTCGTTTTTGTAGTAGTCCAAAAAACCATTCTCCTAATTTTAGTTCTAGTTTCAAGAATCCAACGAGCTAGCCAAACAGTTCTACGAAGTGATTCTAATTCATCAGAGCAACATTTTTGAAGGGAATATGGATCCAAAACATTTCAATGAGAATCTGGAACCCTGCCATTCCTTATTATTTGGTATTTGTCAGGCAGGGTGCCTGTACATCTTTTTTTTTTTTTTTATGGGTTACTCACATATGGTTTGCCCTTTTCTTCAACTGTTTTAGATCTTGGAAATGAACCATGAAGATGAAGCTGAGGAGGATGGTGCTAACATTGATTTAGACTCACAAAGGAAAGGAAAATGTGTTGTTCTGAAGACCTCCACAAGACAAGTGAGCAATCTATTCTCTGCTCATCAGGGTCATGTCTTTTGCTGTTTTTTTTTTCTTGTGTCCATATACTGTATGCAATCCACTTTCTAAATCTTTGACCACTAATATGCATACAGTATGAAGATTTATCACATGAAAATATAGAACAGTAGATTCTATATCAAAAGTACAACCAACATTTTGTTGTTGCTAACGCACATGTGAAAAAGGTAGTCAAGGGGGTATGTATTGGGTACCCAGGATAATAGTCATATAAGACATTTGGGTTATGTTTGTACTACTTTTGATCCAGATACTCAGTGTTTGTTTTAAATCATAACTCATTAGGTATTGACGTGTTGTCATGTCTGACCTGAATAACAACTTTATGGCTGTAATGGTTCTGGTTTACGGGTTATTCCAGTAAAGAATTGTATACTGTAAAGCGAAATATGTTAAAGCAGTCATAATTGGCTAAGTCTTTTTTTGCTAAAGAAACAGTTCTGTAATATGCTTGCCCAGCTGTCACATTGTGCTGTTAATACAACATCTTTTCTTCTGTGTTCACCTGCCTGACCTTGCCGGTGTGGCCGTATGGGATTGTGTATAGTTTACTTTGTCTTAATTCCTATTCTTCCACATCTCCTGTCAAATCATGGTTGATAATTTAAAGCAACGAAATATTTTATGAACTACCTTTTATGTATGGTCATGACTCTTGAGTTTAAGGAATCAAACTCACCGCTGCAAAATCTTCGTTTCTTGTCTTGATGATTGCAGACTATATTCCTTCCTGTTGTTGGGCTAGTGGACCCTGATAAGCTAAAGCCTGGTGATCTGGTAGGAGTCAATAAAGATAGCTACCTTATACTAGATACGTTGCCATCAGAGTATGATTCACGAGTGAAGGCAATGGAGGTTGATGAAAAGCCAACTGAAGATTATAATGACATTGGAGGTCTTGAAAAGCAGGTATTTTACTGAGTGAATGTTGAAACTTTGTTAGTTCCCTATTTATCAAATTGCTCTTTAGGAAATTAGCTGGCAAGTTGCATCAGTCTTACATAAGAAATGAATAATGTACTGTTGCTTATGTATTACTTGTATCCTTTGAATCTTATGTGATCGAATTTAGATTCAAGAGCTTGTAGAGGCAATTGTACTGCCCATGACACATAAAGACCGGTTCCAGAAGTTGGGTATTCGTCCTCCAAAAGGAGTTCTTTTGTATGGACCGCCAGGAACTGGCAAGACACTCATGGCGCGTGCATGTGCTGCACAAACGAATGCAACGTTTCTGAAATTAGCTGGTCCACAACTTGTGCAGGTAATCAGTTTACTTGAGAAGTTTTGTTCCCTTTCCTTTTTTTTATGTGTTTGTTATATCGCTGCGCCTGCAGTCTTTTCAATGATAAGATTTTTTTATCTGACATGAATCCAGTCGTACACTGCTGCCCCATTTCATGTTACCATATCTATGCTTCAACTTCTGTTCCTCTTTGTTCATTCCTGGAGTTATTGTTGGCTTTCTGCATAGCTTCATTATTTCATTGCATCATCCTGGTTAATTTCCTTTTTTATGTACATGAATAATTTTTTGTTCTTTTCAGTTTCCATTTCAGAGAGTACTGTTATTTGTTGGTTTCAGTTGTCACCTGTACATGAATAGCATTGGTCTTAAAGCAATATTTCCTTTTGCCAAGGTTCTCAGAAGCAAGTTTGGAATGTCTTAGTGCTTTCTACCTTCTGAACATAGTTTGTTAACTTGTCTAGGGCCAGTGCGTTCCTGAATGTCAAGTTTTTTGTACATACCATATTATTACTGTTGAGGAAATTGGATATGTGGATTTCACCTTTCTGTTATTATGGAGTTTGTCAGTTCAAAGTGTCTTTGTTGAAGTTTAGTCAGTTATATGACACACTTGATGAATTGTCAGGATTTTGTAGACCATTCGTTGTCTCTATATTGTATAATTGGATTTGGAAATAAAAATTGCATTGGTTTAACTAAAATATTAGTCTGATTGTATGACTAACACTGACACGAAAGCTAGGTGGGAGTAAATAGGAAACTAGAGTTATGGCGGCAGACCCTTGAGTCTAAAGGTTTTAGATTGAGCAGAACTAAAACCGAATACATGAGATGCGACTTTGGCGGAGTTGTACAGGAGGAGGGAGATGTGAGTTTGGAAGGTTAAGTAGTGCCTAAGAAGGATACCTTTCGGTATCTGGGATCGATGCTACAGGGGGATGGAGATATTGATGCGGACGTTAGCCATAAAATCAAAGCAGGGTGGATCAAGTGGCGACAAGCTTCTGGCATTCTCTGTGACAAGAGGGTACCACAAAAGCTAAAAGGCAAGTTCTATAGAACGGCGATTAGACCGGCTATGTTGTATGGAACAGAATGTTGGTCTACAAAGATTCGACATGTTCAACAACTGAGTGTTGCAGAAATGCGTATGTTTGTGATGGATTTGTGGTCACACAAGAATGGACCGAGTTCAGAACAATGATATGCGTGATCGCCTAGAGGTAGTACCAATTGAAGAAAAAGTTTATCCAACATCGGTTGAGATGGTTTGGCCATGTCCAAAGGAGACCTCCAGAGGCACCAGTGCATTGTGTAGTCCTAAGCCAAGCTAATAATATGAGGATAGGTAGAGGAAAACCGAAATTGACATGGGGGGAGGCAATAAAAAGAGATTTTGAAAGTTTGGGATATACCTAGAGATCTATGTTTGAATAGGAGTTCTTGGAAAGCAGCTATTGAAGTAACCTGAACCGTGGCTTGGGGCTCTTGGTGGGTTTCAACTCTAGTCTACCCCAACTTGCTTGGGACTGAAAGGCTATGTTGTTGTTGTTGTTGTTGTTGTTGTTGTTGTATGACTAACACTGACCATTTGGAGCATTTTCATTGAAGACACATTGGAGATATTGCTTTGCCATGCAAAATCTGTTTTATTCTGATGTTATCTTGAGCATAGTTTATACTTTCGAGTAGGGTAGTAACAGTGCTCTTGCTGGTTCAGATGTTTATTGGTGATGGAGCAAAGCTTGTACGGGATGCGTTCCAGCTTGCCAAAGAGAAGGCTCCTTGTATTATATTTATTGATGAGATAGATGCCATTGGCACCAAGCGTTTTGATAGGTATGTCTTTTATGACATTTCAGCCCTTGCATGGTTTTATTCTTGTTTTGGCTGATGATACTCTTTATGAGATGAAAATGCTAATCGGCTGCACAGGATCACAGAAAGTAGAACACTTTATATGTTTCAATTTAGTGTAAACAAATCATTCTTATTGCGAAGAAGCATATCTGATGTATGCTCCATAATTTTGTTCTCTTGGTACAGTGAAGTTAGCGGTGATAGAGAAGTTCAGCGAACTATGTTGGAATTACTGAATCAACTGGATGGATTCAGCAGCGATGAGAGAATAAAGGTCATAGCTGCAACGAACCGAGCTGACATCCTTGACCCTGCTCTGATGCGATCTGGACGGTTGGACCGAAAGATTGAATTCCCTCACCCATCTGAAGAAGCAAGAGCTAGAATCTTGCAAGTTGGTCTCCACAACTTATGTTCAATTTGCTGAAGTTTATCAATGAATGATGTTTTTGCTTTACTCAGTAGGCCATTTACCAACTAATGTGTTCTGTATGGTGCTCTGTAGATTCATTCAAGGAAAATGAATGTAAATCCCGATGTCAACTTTGAAGAATTGGCTCGTTCAACAGATGACTTCAACGGAGCACAGCTAAAGGCAGTTTGTGTAGAAGCTGGTATGCTCGCTCTACGGCGCGATGCTACAGAGGTGAGCCTTCCGCTCCCCCATATGCACAATTCCATTATATTTGCTTTGCAAATGTGGTAGCACCACAATCCCTTACATCGATAGATGGAGGATGACATTGTAGGTTGATTATTGACTTATTTATTTATTTATATTTTTGTGATGACTGTGATTTCCTAACCTGATGTTTGCTTGCACAGGTAACTCACGAGGACTTCAATGAAGGAATCGTACAGGTCCAGGCGAAGAAAAAGTCAAGCTTGAACTACTATGCTTAAGCTATATGCAAAATATATGGACCACAAGTTGTTTGTAACACTACTGTATGGATGATCGAAGCTACGTTTTTACGTTTGCTTTGAGATGCAAGTTTTTAACATTATCTCAAGATTTTTATTCAGCCTCAGGCTCCCCAGAAAACTGTTTGCTTACCATCTGTGTTGTGAGCGTGAGTTTATGAATCGAATGATATGTTGTATTAGCGCATTCTAGGTGTGGTGCAACATATCATTCGATAACACCATACCTAGAGAGTTGGTGTTTGATGCACTTCCGTATCTTCTTGAGTGTCCCGACAACTTACTGGAATGAGCCAATGAGAAGTAGAAAACTACCGCAAGCTTTTGCATTCAGAATGTATACATGCTAACCATATGAAAAATATGAAAAAAAACAAAAGAAAACTCTTAGATCTCATATAATCAAAAGAAAACTCTTAGATCTCATATGAACCAACAGGGGGTGTACGAACGGAATGGACAAACCTTACTGTAGTCCAAGACACCACGTCCACGTACTGGGCTTGTGCCTTGCCCGCTTGCCGGCCTGTGCAACTTGTGGGATGGGCTGTCGCTGCCGTGGTCACATTTTAAATTGGAAAAAGTTCACATTATCTCCGTCAATCTTTGTGAAAGTCTGTTGTCCCTCTCTGAACTCTAAAACCGGATAAACCACCTCTCTAAACTTTTAAAACTGTTCGTTTTACCTCCCTGATCGGTTATAAGCGGTTTTCAAAGGTGGTTTTGTCTTTTTCTTTTATTTATTTATTTTGGTTGAATCTTTGAAAAATCTAAGTAAATCACAGAAAAAATCATAAAATAGAAATTCTAATTTTATTTGACTCCACGTGAGTAGATCTATATAGTAAACATATAATATGACATGCTTTAGTATAAATTTTTTGATGTAACTTTAGATCTATGCTTTTCTATAATTAATTCATAGCGGCAGTTTCTATGGTCCAATTGTGGTGAAATTTTTATGGTGGATTAATTATTATATGCTTGCACTGTACTAAAAATTTTATACTTATTGGATCATGTATAACTTAGTTATAGATAAAGCATAGTTTTAAGGGATTTTTTGTGTTTATGCACTTATTCCATAGTCTGATTTTGCCGTTTTTTTTTACTTTGCGAGTTAGGTAGTGTTTGGATTGGGGGTTTAACTGGGTTGAAGCGGGTTGGACCTAGGTGAACCCGCTTTTGGATGAAAAGTGAAGTGGGTTGGGTTCGACCTGGTACAGAATATACAGTTGAGATGTGGGTCGATTTGATTCCTCCAAAACCAGCGGACGACGCCGACCCGCGTCCTCTACTCGTGGCGTCGGTCACCCGAGTCCCGCAGCGCTATCCTCACCCCCTCGTTTCTACGACGCGGGAACAGCCGAAGGGCGGCGCTGCTCGCCTGCCTCCCAGATCCGGCGGCGCCGACGCCTCCCAGGTCCGGTGGAGCCAGCCATCTCGGCCTCCCTCCCTGCTCCCGTCCGTGCCTGCCGTCGTCGGTCCTCGCTCCCCGCCGTCCTCCGTTCTTCCGTCGTGGAGCGTCGCCGGGATCCGACGCCGCCCTCCCCTGGAACCTCACTGCATGGTCCTCCCTCCCCTGTAGGCGTCGAGCTTCACGGTTGGGCCTCCACGGTCGGCCATCTCGTCCTCTGCAGCCAAGGTAAGAAACCCTAGCATGTGCATCTCTGTATTTGGTACAAATTGCAATCCATGTTTTAATCTTGTGTGGTCTGGAAATTTTAATTTATTTGCTAAGCGATTGTAAACAAAACCAATGTGTTGTTGTCAATGATGGCCTTGATTATTCAGACTAGAAAACGTAAGCGTGGTGCAAGAAGGATTGGTATTATCTATGGGCCTATGGAGGAAAGGGATAGGATTAGACTAGAATATCTAAACAACAAAATTTGGAAGGATGATACAACTTGTCTGAACATGTTAAGACTTAACAGAGACAAGTACTTCCGGTTTTGCAAACTTTTTAGAGATCGTGGTTTACTGAAAGATACCATCCACCTGTGTGTTGAGCAGCAAGTGGGTATGTTTCTAAACACTGTGGGACATAACCTTAGGAATAGGTTAGTTGGAACTAATTTTGATAGATCGGGAGAAACAGTGAGCCGCTACTTCAACAAAGTATTGCGTGCTATTGGTGAGCTATGAGGGGAACTAATTAGCCCCCCGTCTATGGACATACCAAGCAAAATTGCAGAGAGCTCCAGATGGGATCCTTACTTTAAGGTGTGAGGCTTATTCTTGTTTTTGGTTTTTGGATATTTGAGATTTGTATTCATATGGTCTCTAATATGGACATATTGAAAAATAGGATTGTATTGGAGCAATTGATGGTACACATGTGAGAGCATCTGTACCTAAGGATATTGAACATGCCTTTCGTGGTAGGAAATCCTTTGCCACACAAAATGTAATGGCAGCTGTAGACTTTGATCTACGATTCACCTATGTCTTGGCTGGTTGGGAGGGTACAACACATGATGCTCTAGTGCTACGAGATGCTTTAGAACGTGAGAATGGCCTTCGTGTTCCACAAGGTAATAGATTAGCAGTCTCTCAACTTGTCCATACAAATTTTTGTATATAGACATGTGACGAATCTGTCCATCAAATGATAGGAAAGTACTACCTAGTGGATGCTGGATATGGAGCCAAACCAGGATTTTTGCCCCCTTTTCGTGGTGTTCGGTACCACTTAAATGAGTGGGGCACTAATCCAGTGCAAAACGAGAAGGAATTATTCAACCTTAGGCACTCATCTCTTCGTGTGACAGTAGAGCATGCTTTTGGGTTGCTAAAGCGAAGATTCAAAATTCTTGATGATGCTACCCCGTTCTTCCCTTTTCCAACACAAGTAGATATTGTATGTGCTTGCTGCATCATTCACAATTGGGTTATACAAGATGGGAATGATGAGTTTTTTACAGAGGATGTTACTTTGCCTACCTATAGTCATGCTTCAACACGCACTGGCCAAGCAAATGAGCATGCTACTATGGTTAATTTCAGGCAGCAACTAGCAGATCAAATGTGGGCAGACATGCAAAATAACAATGTTAATTAATATTTGTTGCAAAAATGAATTTGTATGGACAAATTTGTAGCTGAATTCCATTTGTAAGAACATATTTGTGGCTGAGTTCCATTTGTAAGGACATATGTGTCTGAGTTCCATTTGTAAGATCATATTTGTTGCTGAAATCCATTTGTATGGACATATTTGTTATTGAAATCCATTTGTATGGACATATTTGTTGCTGAATTGCTCTTGTAAGGAGGTATTTGTTGCTCAATCATGTGTAACGTTTGCTGATTTTGTGTTTGTATGGCAGGCAATAAAGGATGCAGTTGAGGAAGTTGGTGCAACTAGCGGCCATGCTACATGGACATCAGCAATGTCTGCTTTCATGCTTAGTCACCTAGCTAATTTGGTGGCTAGTGGTTTGAAGACATCAAAGGGATTCAAGAAACATTTTTATAATGGTTGTGTTAGGGCTATCAATGAGAAGTTCAACACTATTCGCACCGGTGACCAAGTCAAGAATCATTTAAAGACATGGCAGAAAAAGTGGGCAAAGATAATTAAACTTAAGAAGTTGAGTGGTGCACTGTTTGACGAAGATAACTGCATGATTACACTAGATGATGAGCACTACAATGGCCATGTGAAGGTAAAGTTGCTGCTCAATTCTTTTGTAATTGGACTTATCATTTCATATTTTGACTACAAATTCTCCTCCATTCTAGGATCACAAGTCTGATGCTGAGTTCTTGAACAAGCCCATCTTGCACTATAAAGAGATGGAGGCAATATTTGGAAATAGCATGGCTACAGGCAACTTTGCAAAAGACTCAAGTGCAGCTCTAGGTAGAGAAGATTAGGCTGATAGCCAAGATGAGGAGGAGGTTACTGTAAATGGTTTGAGTGATGGTCACACAACTCAAGGGGCAACATCATCTACTAGTAGACCATCATCTGCTACTAGACCCAGCAAGCAGGCCAAGGTTGTTGACACTGAGGAGGAGGGGCTGATTGTTGTATTCAAAAGTGTAGGTGAGAATATCGCTGAAGCTATAAAATATGCTGCCAAACCAAAAAATGAGTTGTCAGATGACCTATTTCAGATCCTAAATACCTTTCCTGGTTTTAATTCGGTCCACGTATCTGCATACCATCTTCACTTGTGTTTCCAACCCTACTATTGCTAGATCTTTCTATAACCTGCCATACGAGAACCAACTTCATTGTTTTTTAATGTTCATCAGTGATAAGTTTCCTGGAGTGTAAGGGTAATGTTGGATGAGTGGGATGTTTCTTTTGGTACAACTTATCCAACCGTGTAAGCCTTGAACTTATATCATGTAAGGCTTGAACTTATGTAATGCCTTGAACTTGCTTTATTCAAGTAAGGCTTGAACTTGATGTGTAAGGCTACATCTAATTATTATCATGTAAGGCTTGAACTGAACTTGCTTTATTAAAGTAAGGCTTGAATCTGATGCATGAGATTTTGTACGTGTCATTGAATATTATTTTTCTTTCATGAATGTGATTTGAACTTGATTAGAAGTGAAGATATATGCAATGTGTGGTAATCTCACCAAAGAGGTGATCATATTCCCTGCCAACCCTCATCCCTCTAACCAAACAAGGAATGGAGCCACTCCAACCCACTGTATCCTCCAATCAAACAAAAAACTAGGTTGAACCTATCCCTGTAACCAAACACGAGATGGGTTGATATCAACCTAGAAAAGTAGGATGGACCCAACCCATTCCATTTGGCTCCCAAACCAAACACATGCTTAGGGTCTCGTCCGCTCCCGTAGTCACAAAACAAAGTCGTGGCAAATCCCGAGTTAGGGTTTTGTCCGGGCGTCGGCGCGGCTCCTCCTCCCTCCACCCCGCTCCCCCCCAGCTCGTGCCTGCGACTCGTCCTCCCTCCGCCCTGCTCCCCCAGCATCACGGGTATCGGCTGGGGTCCCTGTCGTCTTGTCCCGACATGCTCGGTATCTCTGGGATGGAGGAACCAGCGCAGGAGAAGCGGCGCGGCCGGCTGCCGGGCACCGGCAAGAAGCACCAGCCTTCGCCATCCCAAGGTACCCGCTGATCTCTGCTCGAAAGAAAAGATTTTTTTTTTCATTCAAATCTCATCTCTAATATAAAATTCTAAATTCTAAATTCTAAATGAACAAGCTTGTGGTGCTGATTTTTGCCTTTAGCTTTGACATGTACATGTACCCAAAGTTCAGAACATGCCATATCCGATATCTCCTCGCCTAATAAAGTAGCTTTTTTTTTTTTTGAGATGGAAGATTGCAGAAAATCCGACTGAGACTTTCCTTTCTTTCACCAGTTGGGGAATCGTTTTATTTGGGGCGCATACATCACAATCTGTAGGTTTTGCTTGCAGAGTTTCCTCCTCTCCACCGTACTATTCAGAATCTCTCTGACTGTGTACACTCTGAAAAAAAGAACAGCTTGTCCAAATCAACTACAGACTAAATGTCCATTCAGTCTCGCTAGCTAGATGCAGAACAGAGAATGTTCAATGTCCACAGCTCTGTCAGTCTGCAAAACCAACAGGGTTTCTGAAAAACAACGTTTTGACAGTCAGAAACCAACAAACCTATCATTGAGGAACTGAATGCATTCGTAGACGATTAACATTTTATGTTTCAAAAAAAATAGACGATTAACATTCTGTCGCCTGATCATTCTGTCATTCTGTGCTCCAGGCAATGCGTTCGCCGGTTCCGCTGGAACGAGCTTCACTCTGCACATCATCACGGCGTCTCCTTCAGAGGTATGAGCACTCATCTGAATGTTCCAAGAAACAGAATGCAGCTTCGGTTTGGGCAGGCATGCATACTGACATTCACATACTGCCCAATTTTATTTATTTATCCCAATTATTCATATTTATTTGTACTAACATTTTTTTTCTAACAAACATTAAGTGCTAGTGCTAGTAGAAGAAGAAGAGGAAGAGGAAGGGGAAGGAGAAGAGGGTCAGCAGAGGCCAACAATGAGACAAAGTAAGACAAGCCAACATTGCTTTTCTTTACTACATATTTTAATAACTTTACTAACATAATTCTTCTTTTTTTCATATATAGTGCGAGTGTTTCCGAAAGGTGAAGAGGAAGGAGGAGAAGAGCAACTTATGAGAGGCTTGCTACTTTGCTAGGTTTCGAAGCTTGATATGTAGCTCACTACTAGTTGCCTAGAGAACTCACTACTAGCTCCTATTTTGGTTTGACATGTCATTTAGACCTATATGTTAGTGTCTGACATGTCATTTGGACATGTATGTTGGCTTCTATTGTGGTACTATGATGACATGTTGTATGGATCTGATTTATATGTACTAGTTGTGTTATATTAAATTGTGTTTATAAGGATTGTCAGCTGAAATGTTATCGAATTTTTCTCAAAATTCTGTATAAAAAATGACAACTTGTTGTTTGAAACTAGGGGTAAAAAAGCAAATAATATAATAAAACAGGGGTAAAAACACATGGGCAAAGTTGTCCTTTTGTTCAAAAGTTAACACCGTTATTAGAGGGACTTAATAAACTAGGGGTAAACATTTCATTCGTTTAAAAATAGCAGGGGTAAAATCACAAAATTAAAAAAATGAGGGCAAAATCACAAATGGACATCAAAACAGGGGTAGAAACGCTTAAGTTCCTAGATTTAACAAGCATAAACCTAAATAAATCTATAACTAAGGGATACATGATCCAATGAGTATGAAATATTTACTACAGTTCAAGCATACAATAATTAGCTCATCATAAAAATTTCACCACAATTGGTCCATAGAAGCTGCAGCTATGAATTATTCTAATTAATTATAGAAAAAGCATAGATCTAAAACTACAGCAAAAACTTTGTACTAAAGCATATCATATTATATGTTTAGTTTATAGATCTGCTCATGTGGAGTCTAACAAAATTGGATTTTCCATTTTATGATTTTCTATGATTTATTATGAATTTTTTAAAATTTAGCGGAAATAAATTAAAAAGAAAAGACAAAACCACCTCCACCGTAGCAAAACCACCGTCCAAAACCGCTTGAGGGAGGTTTTATTTGACCAGTTTTGGAAAGTTCAAGGGACAGAAAATCCGGTTTTATAGTTTAAGGGTGAAGTAGTCCACCCTAAATAGTTAGTGGAGGAGGGTTATGTAGACTTTTTCATACTTTATTGATGTCCATCTTCAAACAAGCTCTATTTACTTCCTGCTACGCTTATTTTTGCTTTCTACCAAGATGGCAAGAAGAAACTGGAATTCTCCCTCTGCGAGGCAAATGTGTGGTGGTGAGCCCACAGGATTAGGAGAGTCCTCCCAGTGCACATGAGTCTATTTTGTAATTCTACTAAAAGCACCATTTTACCCATTCAAATCTAGGTTTCAATGATGATATCGCAAAGTCGTAAAACCCTAATATAATAAGATTCAAATTTAGACTCAATATGCAACTAAGGCCGTGTTCGGAGGGTGCACTCGGGCATTGTAGCTCGGCTGTTTTTGGATGATTGAATAGTGTTCTGTGAGGGAGAATAAGCTGAAACAAGCTGAAACAATCCGGGACCGGAACAGCCGTGTCGGTGTTTCGGACCGGGGGGTCCTCGATCAACCAGTAAAAGTAAACTGCGTGCCCCTAATCCCGGATGGTGATGCAAAGAGACACAAGGTTTATACTGGTTCAGGCAATTGGTGCCCTACGTCTAATCTGAGAGATCGGTCTTGTATTCCTTGCACCGAAGTGCTTGTAGTAGGGGGTTACAAGCTGGGTGAGAGAGGGAGCTAGTCCCAGGTCTCGGCGTGGGACGGTCCGAGGTGCTTGAGACACGGCTCTCAAGCAGCTCGGGGCGTGGTGTTACATGATGTGTCTAGGGCGAATATGGGAGCGCGGTTCTATCATATCTTCTTCCTCCCTCTCGAGCTATCCCTGGCCGCTTCCTTTTATAACCGCAAGGAAGGAGCCAGGAGTACATGAGTGAGCTACACGTGGAGCCTACTGCAGTTTAGTCCTGTAGCAGCATGGTGTTGGGAATGGAGATCGGTACTTATCTGGCGCGCCGTGCTGGTCAGGTTTGAAGTGGTTGAGGTCGTGGGGGTCCTTGTCGATGTCTAGTCAGTATGACTTCCATGGCCTGAGACATGCCATGCTTTGGTGGACTCTTGACCTGGTGGAGTGCCGAGGCCTGGCAGGTCATAGCTGACCGCGCCGAGGCCTGATTTGCTGAGGCCCTGGTGGGTATTTGTAGCTGACCGCGCTGAGGCCTGATTTGCCGAGGCCCTGGAGGGAGCAGTTGGGCCTATGCACTGATTCCGAGGCTATAGTGACCCAGTTTAGGTGGAAAAGTGCAGGGTAGGGTAACCCCTGCACCGTCAGTAGGCGATGGTAAAAAAGGAGATTTGACCGCCGTCCCATCGCCCCTGTTACTATACCCTGCCAATCGTGGCTGACGTAGCGGGTGCATTCAGGCGCATTAAATGGATGGGACAGCCTACCAGGGGGGGCAGTTGAGGCAGAGACGACGAGGATGCAGGACGAGCCCGGCCTTGGCCGAGGTGGAGAAAGAACAGTACGTCCGAGGCCCTGCCGGGGGGCTCGGACGAGGCGGAGAACGAGCAGCTGGGCTCTCCTGCTGTTGTTGAGACTACAGGGACCTGGACTTGACCTTCCACGCCGCTTTGTCCTTGGCGCAGGGGTTAGGTAGCATAAGGCGATGCGGGTGTCGATGAGGGAGCACGATGATGAGCACGATGGCGGTAACCCTAACTGCGCCCGTCCCCTATCCCGTCGGTCGCTCTGCCGCAAGACTGATGCCGCGTCTGGGCCGACGCGTTCTGAGAGTAGTTGGGCGCATTAATTTGGACATGACGTTTTGTCCGAGGAGTTCAGTCGGGACGGAGGTAACGAGGTTGTTTGCTGAGCCTAGCCTCGAGCGAATCGGGGAATTAGCATCCCGTCCGAGGCCTTTCGGGGCAGGGCCACGGCGAGAGGGCCTCGGCGAGAGGGCCTCGGCGGGGCGGGGAGCTTTTGGCCTTTCGCATGAGGCTTCGGTGCAAGGCCTCGGGCGAATCGGAGAATCTGCTGAGACCTTGCGGTAGTCTTTCGGCTTTGGTTTTTGCAAGGTTCAAGCAATATTTTTGGTTCTTGCTTAGGGTACCCCTTCTTGCGGTATCCGACAGTAGCCCCCGAGCCTCGAGAGGAGTGAGGGCACTCTCCTGAGGTTTTGTCGAGACTTGGCTCGCAACAGCTCCTGTTTGGGATTGTGTTTTGTACTCGAGGCCTCGGTGGGTGCGCGCGAGCGCACCCACCGGGTGTAGCCCCCGAGGCCCTAGAGGAGTGGATTTGACTCCTCCAGGGGCTTTTCTTACGTCGTGCGATGGATTTTTATTGTGCTAGCCAAGCCTATGAATGTGAGTTCGGGTCGCTGAGCCTCGGTTTAGTTATAGGAAGAACCCCCGAGCCTCTGCTCGGAGCAAGAGGACGACCAGAAGTTTCCCTGTCTTTTTTGCATTGCCCTCACGCATCCGTTTTGTTCGGAAGGAGGGGTGGAGGGTGCCATGCTACCCTCGGTGGGCGCGAGCAGTGACACCTCCAGTGAGCTGTTATCGGGTAAGTCCGAGTGGAGGCCCGAACCCCGTTCGTTAGGGGTCGGCTAGCGGTCCAGAGATGCACTCCAAGAGTACCAGAGGGTTTCTCTAGTGGGTGCCGGGGCCGTTCGCTAAGCCCCGGTGGCTCGGTGCCTCCCTACGGTGGGATCCCATTCAAGACCTCCTGTTGGTCTCGGACACGACTTAGGCGTCCCGAGCGAATGCTCTCTCGGGTCTCGGCCAAGCGCTGGCTCGCCCATAGTCGCCCCCCGACTACATTGCCTGGGGGCGGTTGTGTCGAAACCCTTAGGGGCCCACCTTGAACCCTGACCTATAATGGGCTTGATGCCCTTTTATCACATTTTTTCGAGTCTTCAGGTGCGGGGTTGGATCGCTTGTCCTTGTCTTGGGTGCAAGAGGAGCCCCTGAGCCTCCGCACGGAGCGAGAGGGCGGTCAGGGGTCCCCCTGACTTTTTTGTTCGACCCTCGCACATCCTTTTCGTTCGGACGGAGGGGTTGTTTGCCGAGCCCACTCGTGTGCGAACCTAGGTCGCTGGGTCTCGGCAAACTTGCAGGAAGAGCCCCCTAGCCTCTGCACGGAGCGAGAGGGCCGTCAGGTGCTCTCCTGGCTTTTTATACGCCCCTCGCGCATGAGGGTTTGTTTGCTGAGACCCCCTCGGGTGCGAGCCTAGGTCGCGGGGTCTCAGCATATCTGCAGGAAGAGCTCCCTAGACTCTGCCCGGAGCAAGAGGGCTATCAGGGAGTTCCCCGGCTTTTGTACGACCCTCGCGCAACCTTTTCATTTAGAAGGAGGGTGTGTTTGCCGAGCCCCTCGAGTATGAACTCAGGCCACTGGGTCTTGGCAAAATTGCAGTGAGAGTCCCTAGCCTCTGCACGCAGCGAGAAGGCGATCAGGGAGTTCCCCGGCTTTTATGCGACCCTCGCGCATCCTTTTTGCTCGAAAGGAGGGGGTTGTTTGCCGAGCCCCCTCGAGTGCGAGCCTAGGTCGCTGGGTCTCGGCAAGGTTTGTAGGGAGAGCCCCCGAGCCTCCGCACGGAGCAAGAGGGCGGTCAGGAGTTCCCCTGGCTTTTTATGCGACCCTTGCACATCCTTTTCGCTCGGAAGGAGGGGTGGAATATGCCAGGCTACCCTCGGTGGTCGCGAGCGGTGACACTTCCGGTGAGCTGCTATCGGGTAAGTCCGAGTGGAGACCCATACCCCATTCGATAGGGGTTGGCTAGTGGTCCGGAGACGCACTCCAAAAGTACCAGAGGGCTTCTCTATTGGGTCCCAGGGCCGTTCGATTGGCCCCGGAGGCTCGGTGCCTCCCTACGGTGGGATCCCATTCGAAGAACTCCCTGCTGGTCTCGGACATGACTTAGGACATCCTGAGCGATCGCTTGCTCGGGCCTCGGCCATGTACGAGCTCACCCATAGTTGTCCTTGACTCTGTTGTCCTGGGGCGGCTGTCGAAACCCTCTGGGGTCCAGCCTTCGAACCCCTGGACCGTAATGGGCTCGGCACCCAGTTCCTTAGTCTAGAAGGAATC